CATATTTAATAGATTGATCAATTAACAATTTAATTAAAAGAAATATTTAAAAATTTTTTTATCATTCAGTTATAATAGCATAGACAAATTAAAGGCATGTAAATGTAAACGCCTCAGCTTGGTCATAGTAAAAGAGAAAATCGAGGTTGCACTGTTACATTATGTCTTGTTAGTGATTGTTACGTTCCTTGTAATATGTATAACATGGTTACGTCCCTTGAGTGTTCACTGTGTCTTCTCTGATGTGTACATGTTTGTCAGTTATCTAAAGGTAGAGTCAGAGACATGTCGTCTGAGCTCTCTGTATTTCAGAATATAGCACTGGAGTTATCACAAAGAACTGTGTCTATTTAAGTAGCAGACACTACTAGCTTAAAGACCACCTGTCTATTTGGGCTGTTAATTTGTCTTATGTCAATAGACAAAAATACTTTAAGTCAACACAAATTTTTATTTCTCTATGTTTACAACAAAAAATATGTGTTTTTCGCCTGTATTATTTAGTGAGACAGTTGCCATGTATATAATATTTACTCTATTAGGTAAATGTAAAATAGAACTATTCAATCATTTCATTTCTTTATTTTGTAATAAATCAGCGACACTGGCATAGTCATTATATTTTTTGAAACCTATAAACTCTTCCATGTGAATAGGTTGGGTTAAAAGAGGAACAGATGCAAATTTTTAAAAGAATACTTTTTTCTTTAAATTATATAACTTTCTATTCGGGGCTTACTTATACGTTATTTTATTGTACCACATGTTCATAATTATCACGATGGTGATATAAAACAATACAAAACAACATGGCGGTCTAATTGGATTGGGTCTCTCGGGGGATCAGTTACTATAATCTGACAGGACGATACATACTTTAACCAGTGTCCGCCATCCTGCCCACGGAAATTTTAGTCCACCCCTCCCCGAAAGTTTCTAGTGCCCCCACCCCCCCCCCCCTCCCCTCCTCTACAGCAGGGAAAAAAGTCAGAAGGAAACAATGTCGCCGTGCGGGTCAGAGGTCATTGTACGCGCCTGTTTTGATTTTCAGTGGTGAAAGTAGTGGTCAATATCAACGGTGCGATGAATAAAATACCGCAAAAAACAGATTTATTTTAGATAATAACAATACATGTTTACAAACAGATGTTGCACACAGTAGTTAGCCTAACAGGGTTGGAGTGGTTGTCGGCTTTCTGTTTCCCAACACACTACGTCTCCACAGGGTTGGACTGGTCCTGTTGAAGATAGTGGTAAAGGTAGTGGTGAAGTTAGTGGTGAAGTTAGTGGTGAAGTTAGAAGTTAAGGTTTTAGTGAATGTAGTAATCAGGATAGGGATAAAAATAGTAATAGATTGTGTTGAACATAGAGTTGAAGTTGTGGTGGAGGTAGTGGTGAAGGTAGTGGTGAAGGTAGTGGTGCAGGTAGTGGTGCAGGTAGTGGTTAAGGTAGTGGTTAAGGTAGTGGTCAAGTGTTGAAGGTAGATGTGAAGATAATGGTGAAGGTAGTGATGAAGGTAGATGTGAAGGTAGTAATGAAGGTAATGGTGTAGGTAGTGGTGAAGGTGGTAATGAAGATGGGGTTGAAGGTAGTGGTGATGATGTAGCTGAAGGTAGTGTTTTAAAAAGTGTTGAGGGCATAATTTGACCGATACTACAATGAGCAAGTGTCAAATAGACTGTAAGGGCGTGGTTCTATTCCGCCTGTGTTAATGATTTATGTGATACAAACGTTAGCGGGTGGGGCTAGGGAGGGAGGACAGATTTGTTCTCTCAAATTACTTCACATGCTAGGAACCGGTCGTGTAGTTCAATTATGCTTTGAAAATAGCAGCATTAAAATTATATTCTTACTAATTGATAAAATATGTTCACGAATATATTGATACTTTTCAAGATGTCTTAGTGTTAATATTTCTTTACTGCATCAATAAACATACATGATTTTTTAAAAATGGTTTAAGTTCAACAAAAATACATCACCTATACATTCACACATTTCATAATCATTATAATAATGCATTGCTTTGTCAATCAAATTACATTTGGAGTTTTGATTTTAAATCTCGTTCAAATATCAAGTTGTTATAAAAAAAATAGACTAATTATAACATGGCTGGCGAACGTGTTAGTATCTGTAAAGCAACGACACGTAATTATAACCGCAGTGTCAAGGACGAGAGTACAAATTAAAAGTATCGGACATTGGCTCTATTGAATTAGTTGCTCAGTTTGTGTGTGTGGGAGGGGGTGTGAGTCAATATCCCTCTGTCTTTTTCAGGTAATTAATTATGTATCACATCACCCCTAAATGACCAAAATATCAGCGCAAATGAACTACTATGGTTACACCCATGTTGTGTACAATTTATTAGCTGCTAATGTCGGTGTTGTATGTGTGGTAATGTGCTGGGGAATATGGTGTTATGTTGGGGAAGATGGTGTCATGTTGGGGAATAAGGTGTCATGTTGGGGAAGATGTCATGTTGGGGAATATGGTTTCATGTTGGGGAATATGGTGTCATGTTGGGGAATATGGTTTCATGTTGGGGAATATGGTGTCATGTTGGGGAATATGCTGTGCTGTTGCGGAATATTATGCTGCCATCGTCAACAAGTGAAATAAAGATAAAGTGTGATAATATATAAGTTGCGTTACAAGCAAAACACAACTACATCAAAATAATGCCAAATGAAAAAAAAAATTCAGTTGCGCGGTCATTTCAAAATCATGATGCTTTTTAATAATTCAGATACAATTTAGATAGTAGTACTCAGAACAGGGGCGTAGATAAGATTTTGATGCGTTTTGAGAATCGTCCTCTGCTTAGACGTCTCAAAAACATCAATTTGGTGTTACATAATCAATTTTTTTACTAAAATACAATTTCTTCGATAGCCCCCCCCCCTCGAAGAGATGCATGGAAGAAACACTAAGCGTGATTATATTTTAAAATAATTGTTTAAAAATGTTAGCAATCAGTGAGCCATGTTTGTCTGTTTAGACGTTTAAAATAGTAACATGTACATTAAGTTTCTTTTTTATAAATGGTGAAATCATTGCTATAATGTAAATATTTATTTTAAACTTTCAAAGTGAACTCCGCCCCTCCCCCCCCCCCATTCCATTCACTAGCTACGACTCTAGCACATGAATATTATAAGGGGAATTATTCTCACGATGGCTTGTTAGATACAACCCAACCACAACATGTAGTGGCAACATTTTAGGCGACATTATCTTTGGAAAATAATTATTTTAGAATTAATTCTACAATTTCAAGCTACTAACAATTAATTATTTTACCCAGTCAAAAACATCTTTACACTTACATAAGATAATTATTTATTGAGTGAGTCATAAAAAGGCTAGAGATTGTTTTGTATTTTAACAATGCTGCGTCCTTGAACGAAACCCAGTACTGAGCAGTGGTGGATTGAAGAGGAGGCTGAGAGGGCAGCTGCCAGAGGCCCCGGAGTTGTAGAGGGCGACATAGCCTATTTTACAGACCATGGTTGATTTCATTTGACTACATAAACAAACCATTTTTTATAAAGCCAGGCCTAAAGAGTGACTGCTTTTCTTAAAGCCGATTCCGTAATTTCCATGAACTTTTACAACGGCAATAATTAAAATTCTATAATTTTTTTATTGTACTATCATGTTAATTAAACGACATGTAATAATGATACAAAGTACCTAATGTTCAATTTTACAAAGTAGTATCGTTTTAGTGAAGTTGCAGTTTTAGGCTTATTTCAGAAGGTTAATAAGAGTACATTTCTAAACTACTTACATGGCGTTCGTTGAAACTTTGTAATTACTAAGTAAACATTCGGTTGTAGCTTTTTGCGTTTTTGTCCACCCACCTAACCCCACCCTAAACTGAAGACCGTCGTCCATTTCCAGTGCCTGATTAATTTCAAACCCTATGAAACTGTCAATTTCTGTTTAACTGAAGTTTAAAAGATATTGTCGGATAGTTTCTGATTATGTAAATATGATGTGTTTATATTTTATGGAAGACCGTTTTTTCTCTCTTTATTATATGTAACACGTTGATAACATTTTGAAAAAAAAAACAAGCGTCTTAGACTTCATATAGGTTATTGGTTACTATTGGTAATATTGCCAAATAGAGTTGTCGTACACGAGAATGAAGCTTGGTGAATAGGCAATAGTCAGTACGATGTACATCAGTCGCCTCAGCTACATTGAGTACCTGACCCTAGTAGTGAAAAATAAAATACAAATTGTCCAATAAAATGGAATGGCATAACTGCCATTGCATTTGAAATTAAAAGAGTTGACAATTACATTAAATTTCCAATTGCTTTCAATAAAGTTTGAAAATACTATACGAATATAGTGATTAACTCTATTATTTTTCAGGTGTGTATTTGACAAACTGCACCACTGAAAAGCACCATATATCGATAGTAAAATTTAATGACGATACGAGAGGACAGGAATACAGTTTTTTGGAAACATTTCTGAATAGTTTTATATCAAATACAGATACTGACTTTAAGAGGGTCCAAGTTACTTGCATGAAGTATTATCAAGGAGATGAAGAGAAGTGCCCTGAAGGATGTAAGGGGATATTGCCTGACTATAAGTTCCCGTTCAATATTTCTTGTGTACCAACTGAGGAAAAAGACTGGCTGATCAATCACATCCGAGAGACTCAAACAATATCAGTTCTCATATTATCACAGGATACAATAGAAATGCGCTTGAGTTTTTCAGCACACGTGTTGTTGCTATCTAAACACACATTTATTTTAGCTCCTTACACTGTAAAGGGTTTTTATCAAGGCACAACTTGGGTAAATCTAGAAACACATCAACAACTTTTCGATCGGCCTACACTGATATGTAATGACTGCAGACCAGGTTGGACATCATTTATAAATCCCACAACAATGACACTTGAATCCTGTTATTTTGTTCAACATTTTAACGGAAGTTTAACACAAACTTGCGATCTATGTAAAAATATGCAGGGGAATACGGTAACCATAGAATCGGAGTCAGAGTTCCAGCTTGTACAAGACCTTCTACAGAACACACTTGATGCCTCAGGCCCAGAGACTTGGTGTAGACAACAAAACAACAGCGTGTGTCTGGCCTTGAACCTAACTCGACATGGGAAACATTTTAGGTGGGGTCAAGGTCGACCACTTGTTATCTCTGCGCCTTGGTCAACGAATCTTGAAGAAAGTGGAGATTGTGTCACGTGGATTTTATCACGTGATGCAAGTGGCTACAGTAAAACATGGCTTCAAGTGAATTGTAACTTGACAGATCAATATGTTGTCATCTGTGAGGTGGAAACGTTTCTAAAACGTAATCCAAGATATCTAGCGATGGGGAAAGAATTTATAGAGTACAATCAGGACGTCGTTTCTGTCGCAGCGTATTTTGAGGATGACAATTTCCGTCTTGGGTTTAATAACATTATGTATTATTACATCGCACGATTTGACTGTGGCGATGAATCTGACAAATCTATAGCTTATTCCTTTGTCTGTGACAACAAACAAGATTGTCCAAATGGTAGTGACGAAGAGGGTTGTACAGGAGACAAAGACAAGATATGGTTTTACAACTCAACTCAGAAAAACTTTAGAAGAACAGATGGAAGCAATACACGACAATGCGACACCATCAAACATCCGTCTTGTTTTGATCTAAAACAGCTGTTACATGAATTGTGTAATTCTCAATCAGATGTTTACGGGTTGTTTGAAAACAAATTTAACGTAACAAATACTGTACCAGACAACAGTACGCTCTCTGTACTATGGCTTGATATTCTATCATGCAGTGAAGGTCCTACTCCTGTAAAAACAATTGGATCTAACCAAACTATGACATGTGTAATGGCCCCTAAATGTTTGTACATTAAATCTTTGTTTGAGGGTGACGTCATAGGTTGCCATAATATGATCCACCTACAGAATTGTACGACATACAAATGTCCATCTGGCTACGCCAAATGTCCACTGTCTTATTGTATCCCAGAGACTTACGTCAATGACGGGACACAGGATTGTCCACAGGGAGAAGATGAAACCAATCTGATGTTGAAGTGTTTCAATACGTCACAGTATGTTTTCCTACAGCACGTTTGTGATGGCTACATAGACTGTCCTAATGGTGACGATGAAATTAATTGCAATATTGAATGTTCTAACTTTTTGATATGTGTTGCAGGGGTGGCAATTGTCGATGTTATGTACTTTCATTTTTCAGACACACAGACATATATAGTTCGTATTGATTATTCCATTCGAAGCCTTCGTTTTGTAAATAGAAGGTCCGAACGTGAGTTGTCTTCAATAACAATACAATTGGGAAAAAAATCAAAACTGACATATTTACATGGTAACTCAATGAATATCAAATCAGAAAACTCTAATTTCTTATCAATATCTGAAACAAACGATATAAAGCATGCACACTTTAGTTCTAATAAGCTTCAAAAAATAACATCAAGTGGATTTTTTTCAAAATTGAAAAGACTTAAATTATTGAACTTGTCATTAAACACAGAGCTAACTACTTTTAATTTGACTATCCCATCACTAGAGATGTTACTTTTGTCTTACACAGAAATTTCAAGTCTTGATAAGAACATATTTGAAAAAATGAAAAATCTGAAAACTTTACATTTAAGAAATACTAAATTAACGAATTTAAACTTTATCCCTGACGGTTTTACGCTGGAAACGCTTGATATCAGCGGTACTAAAATGCAAGGGATAGGATCCAATTATTTTAGAAACCTGAACATTACAGGAGTTATAAGAACATCACAGTATAAACTGTGTTGTCCCCAAGCACTTGGCCCAAACATACCCATTGAGAAGTGTCAATCTGATGACAAATCTATTTCTTCCTGTACAGACCTAATCAGGGGTGTTAGCATGAGAATTATTCTGTGGGCGATAGGTCTTCTGGCCTTGGTGGGGAACATGTTTGCTCTAGCGTATAGAATGATATGGGATAGAAAGGTTTTACAGACAGTGTACGGGCAGTTTGTGTCCAACCTCTGTATCTCAGACATGATAAATGGCTTTTATCTCATCATGATTGGCGTGGCTGATGAAGTGTATCGGGACACTTATTTTGTCAGAGAAGACGAATGGAAATCCGGGGTTGTCTGCCAAGTGGCCGGGTTTCTGTCAACCCTCTCCAGCGAGGTCACGACGTTCTTTATCTGTCTGATAACACTGGACAGATTTCTGACACTCAGGTTCCAAACTGGCAAGTACCGATTCACCACGAGTACAAAACGTGCATCCATCATCCTTTGCTGGTTTCTTGGGTTATCTTTAGCTTTGGTGCCAGTACTGTGCCCTGAGTGGGGAATATTTACATCAAACTCCATGTGTTTGGCATTTCCTTTAGACGCTGCTGTAAGTGGTGGACGTTATTACTCTGTGGCACTTTTCTTAGGTTTGAATTTTGTTCTGTTTCTGTCTATAATAGTCGGCCAGATTTTCATCTTACGTTCTCTCTCCGCTAGAAGAACTGTTTCTACTTTCACTACCGTAAACAATTCAAGACGAGCCCAGGACGTTCTCGTTGCTAGGCAACTGTTTCTTGTGGCCGTGACCAACTTCCTGGCCTGGGTGCCGGTGCAGATATTGGGGACACTTGCACTGGCTGGGGTTGACCTCGACAACGACGTCTACACGTGGACGGCTGTGTTGGTTTTACCCCTGAACTCGGCCTTGAACCCTTTAGTATACTCTTTTCCAAGACTGTACAACCTGTTTCTGTCTCTAAAAAATGCTTGTTGCAAATAAAAGGGGCTGTGACATTTCGTACGCGCGCCTGTATGTAAATGTTACAGTTGCATCAATAATATATGCAAACATTGAGTGTTCTGATACACAAAAGTATAGCACATTTTACTGATAATGCGCGTATGTATTATTCCTTTATATATATATATATATATATATATATATATATATATATATATATATATATATATATATATATATATATATATATATGGTTCCATGACAAATGATCTCAGGACAAATGATCTCAGACAAAATATCTCAGACAAAATATCTCACGTACAAATGATCCAAGGACAAATGATCTCAGGACAAATGATCTCAAGGACAAATGATTTCACGGACAAAAGATACCAGGACAAAATATATCAGGACAAATGATATCATGGACAAATGATCTCAGACAAAATATCTCAGACAAAATATCTCACAGCAAAATTTATTACTATGTACGATGATTTTAGTTGATTTGAACTTTTTTTTTAATTGACTGTCAATATGGTTTTGTTTACTCTTTTTACGCATAATAATTGATTGTTATAAAATGAATTTGTTAAACTTAACAAACAAATGTGAATGGGTCTTCAGGTTCGTAACTTAAAACTGTTGTTTTTACTGCATCATTAACACAAAAATAAAGTTTACGTTACTTTGCTGGCAGGTACATCGTTATGATCACACATTTCCAATACTATGTGATCATGTATTGTGTGAACTTTCGGTGTAGCCTACATGTTCTTACTTGACAATTCCAAATCTCTTTGCCTGCTGCTCTACTTATGGCTTTTATAAACAGAAATTCATTAGAAACTAATGCCCTATACCCTATCTTCGAGGTAACTAAAGAGGCCTTAGCTGAGTAATCACCAATAATTCTGCTTTGTTCGCATGTACGCTACGACAAACTTCGCTTCGCGATGACCGCTGTCGTTTAAATAAGCATTTGTCACCTGATCACTAAGGTGTGACCAACGCATACAAATTGACTTTGGATGCTAGATGTATTGTCCATGGAGGGCGGATGTCTTTCCAATAAGGCATATCTCTGCCATCAAAGCGGGCGGCTACCTTGATACGAAGGTGTGTCTTTTTTGTTATTTCATTCCCTTTGATCTAGTTTCGTCCACCTGATATGGTGGGATTGTTTAATGTTTGTCAAGCACACCTACGCTGTCTATCGAAACAAATTCTTTAATCTTCGCATACTATATTAGTAATCTTATTTTAAAAATGCTTAGTACAATATGGCAAATTTATACGGCAAACATTTTTTACTTACAATTATTATATAGTCCTATAAACAATATTAAACATAGTAAACAAAACCATATGACAGTCAATAAAAAAAATGTTTAGATCAACTAAAATTATCCAATACACTTTTAAAATTTTGCTGTGAGATATTTTGTCTGAGATATTTTGTCTGAGATCATTTGTCCATGATATCTTTTGTCCTGATATATTTTGTCTTGGTATCTTTTGTCCGTGAGATCATTTGTCCTTGAGATCATTTGTCCTGAGATCATTTGTCCTGTCACCATATATATATATATATATATATATATATATATATATATATATATATATATATATATATATATATATATATATATATATATAATAACCATTACAGTATGATAAACATTTCTCAATATAATGTTTTACTTTACATTCGATTACATATATATGTATTGGTAGTGTTTGCATAGACAAACATTATATCCGTTACATGTGACGTATTCTACTTAAAAATGGATGTTGCTTATAATACACTAGTTGGAGTAGTGCACTATTTTGTAAACTTTAATTAAAGGATGACTTTATGTTTCAATAATAATTGTATGTAAAGAAATGTACATTAGTATGTCTCTCATTCCCCATTAAACGTGTACAAATATCTTGAAATAACATTTATACATTTTTAACAGCTGTATGGTGGTTTATGCTTTGTTATTTTTTGCATATATTTTTTCACATATAGTAAGTATAAAAAAACTAAATGTAATTTTACACATCTTTCTATAAAAATTGATACATCTTATTTTTACATATTTGTATACAATATATATATATATATATATATATATAATATATATATATATATATATATATATATATATATATATATATATATATATATATATATATATATATATATAAAGAGAGAGTTTAATTGATTCTAGTACACATTTATATATGATTTATTTATTATAACTGTTATGCATTTTCTCTTAGCACATTGTCATGCTTTTGAAAACCTACTTGGTAATAAGATATATTTTAAAATCTTCATCACTTGATCTATACATTACATGATTAGATGGTAAGATTTGTTACAGTTCTTAAATATTATATACGAGCCGACCCGCAGCGTATCATACGCCGCTATTTAGTTGTTTTATTTTCTACTTTTCAGTAATTCATAATTTGTAAATTCGACAGTACCAATACTGCCACTGAAAATATTTGCTTTAAAACACTAACCCTCCCCCCCCCTTTCCCCTAACCCCGACCCTACACCCCCCCCCCCCCGTGAAAGCAGCCTCATCTTAGTTATTTCTTAGTTACCTCCTGTGAGTTTAAAATCGAACTAAATTATCTGCCCCTAATAGAAACCCGGCTGTACGGCTCTACGATTTGTAAACATTTAGCTTTGTAAAAATTTAGAGTGAACACCGCTCACCAGACAATGTTGGGGTGGGGTGGGAATGGTAGTGATAGTGATAGAGAGAAAGAGAGGGGACTGCAAGGAGGCGCTTGCAGCTTGTTTTCTAACTGATCCCAGAAGAGAATTATATATATAGATATATATTATATATTCCATTTTTTTTCCAAAATAATAACGTACAACTGGATTTTATACAAGAAAAACTCCATCCTTAATGCCAATATATTTTTGTAAAATTATATTGGTCCATAACTCTTTATTGGTTTATATTAACGACTAAAGTTCGGTTAACTAACCATTATCTAAACTTTCATTATTATGGTAATTTTTACTTAATATTACGTATTGTTTAATGTTGGATATTTAATTACTGTTGTAATGTATAGTTTTTAACAATTTAATTCTAAACCTTAATACATTTTTAAATATGTGTGATGTTTATTTTAGGTGTTTTGATGTTTTGTTACAGATTCTTAATTAATATATAGTTTATTACAGATACTCTTTTGATATTTCTATGTAATTAATTAATGAAATATAAATGTATTAACGAAAGAGATAATGCACTACCTATTGTGCGTAACTGGAAACGACTGGATTTTACTTTCATTAAATTCAATTTTTTTACCAAAATAATAACTTAAGTCTGATTTTTTTATAACAAATATTCATTCCTTAATTCCAATATATTTTTGTAAAATTATATTGGTCCATAACCCTTCATTGGTTTATGCTTACGATTAAAGGCCGGTTAACTAACCATTATCTTATTTCAAATAAGAATCTAAACTTTAATTGTATTGGTAGTTTTTACTTCATATTACGTATTGTTTAACGTTGGATATTTAATTACTGGTCTAATGTATGCTTTTTATCAGTATAATTCTAAACCAAAATTCTTTTTTAGATATGTGTGATGTTTATTTTAAGTGTTTTTGATCTTTTATTACCTATTCCTCATTGATATATAGTTTATTACAGATACTTTTTTGATATTTCAATGTAAACACTTAATGAAATGTAAATGTACTAACAAAAAACATAATGCACTACTAATTTAGTAACAACTATGTTACATACATTATATCGAACACATTGTCGTTGACTGTCAAAAGCCACGTTCCAATGCACACTATTTGTCAACAATTCTTGATGTATAATAAAATCTATTGGTTCGAAAAAGTTTCAAGTGACTTTTCATTTTTAATTAGTCTATTAGTTTAAATAAATACATTTCTAAGATATAATGTGAGGGTGGGGTTTGAGAAGAACCACCAGTTGTGCGAGTGGTATTGTAGAAACCGCTGCTCTACCTAATGTAATGGTATAATTTAGTGAAATCAACAGAAGTCCATTTCAAGATATTCTATAATGTTTCTTTATTCAACACAAATAATCTCTAACTCCTACAATAACTACGTGCTAACACTTCCATGACAAGCTCTAACACTACATTCGATTTCGACTTCAACGTCTTTCCCCTAGAGCTACCTCTAACTGCTGACCCACGCTTCACTGGCTCTTTGACCGTCTCACGTGACCGGTCATCTGCTGTATTTCTATTGGTCTACATAACTACGCTATGCTCTGTTTCTGCTATCTTCTACTTGACATCTATAACCTAAACTTGCGTCATCACAGTATCTACAACTTCACTGATATTACATACATGAGCATCAGGGGCGGAACTACAGTGCCGCCAGACCCCGCATTGCGGGGGGGCCCACGCCATTTAGGGGCCCATCGCCGACCATAATAAATTCTTTATAGTTAAAAAAAAAATAATTTTCTTGCATTTTTGACTTGATGGTAAAAGCTTTTGTAAATAAAAAACAGATCTACTACAGTAGTGATGCTATACAGTAGCTAACACATGCTGTTGCGTTAAAACAAACTATATGCCTGAGCTGTAGTGATAGGCAAACGTTCAGAACACTTCCATGACTTATTTCCCTTTTTTAAATAGTAAAATAGGGGTGCTCATAAGCTCCTTTTAATATATTTGTACTAAACAAAAGAAAAAGAAATTACTTTTCTTAGTTATTATTTTAGAAAAAAACATACTAAATAATTACATAGCATAAATTGGAAATATATTTAAAACAAATAATATAAATACAAAAAAACATAAAAATAAATATAACACGAGAAACCATTACACATACAAAGCTTTCATGTTTTATATTCTTTTGACCGGCTAATTACTGTGAGTAGGTAGGATTACAGCAAACATTCAATAAACTAGTTCTAAATATAAAGAAGAAATACAAAACAGACTAACGCACTCACACACATAACATATTGTAATTTGTTTAAATTGAAAAAAAAAAGA